CGATGCGTTCAAGAATGGTTGATGTCCACGTCCCGTACAATCAGTGGTGTCCTGATGTTTTCAAGCGCTGCCAGCTTGCCTCCAACATCTCTAGCATTTGAGGGGTTGAAATTGAAGCCACTCTTGATCTATGATGACTTCTTTGAGTGGTAGCAACACTTCAGTAATGATATGGTTACTAATTGTATACTAACATTGATATTCATGGTGAAAATAACATTCGCAATAAACATATTGTTGATAGTTATTAAAAAAAAAAAAACATTGTCAACAACATTAATCATAGTGATAATATTACTAACATTGATAACATTGAACGATATTATGTAATATTCAAAATATCAGTAGTATAGCAACAACAACCTTAGGCGCGCCACCTTACTTGGCGCGTTCTGACAGCTCTTGCCTTCCCAGGTGCATGCGCAGTTCATGGGCAAGCAACACATCACTGATGAGGACTGGATGGGTGTCACCGGAACCTATTCATGGTGGATTTCAGGGCCTTCAGGGTGGTTAAATCCCTATTCAGAATGGATTGGTTCATTGGTTCAAGCAGCAATCTACAGGAAACTGGCTGGTTGCAATGCCATCATTTGTTTATTGGATCCTGAAAATTTTCCCAAAAAAGCAATTCTGGGAAATGATGTGCCCCCAAAAATATCATAATTTGTAGTTTCCTAGTAGCCAATAGGGATCCTGAAAATTGTCCCATGTTATCCCCTAAACCATGATAGCCAATATCATAAAACATCATGGTTTATCATGGTTGTGCAGTGTTTTTTCTGTGAAAAAAAGCCGAGATTTGCCCGGAGACCTGGGATGTGCATCCCACTTAGTAGCTGGGTACTAACCAAATTATACCATATATTATATATATACACGGAATATCCACTGATATATATATATAGGTTCAAAACCACTTGCTGACCCCCAAGTATAGAGGGGGATGGGATGAATGGGGAACCAGTGAAATGCGATATGTTTTTCATCTTGTGGTGCAGAGAAGGAGAAGGCACAGTAGATTGGCACCTTAGTGAGAGCTATTCAGCTATTCAACTACAGATGCAGAAACGATTCACTCTAGAGATTAAGTTGATGAGGTGATGCGAAGTCAATGAATGTGATTCAAACGGGTTTCATAATTTTATATCAACTTGTTGAAACTTGTTTGAATAGATATTGACAAGTACTACCGCATGGGATGACCGACGTCACGCCACGACTGGCCACGGGTCATCCACCACAAGATCTTGATGCTGACCAGGAATGGAGCTTCTTTTTGCGTGGTGTTGAGGCAAGGGCAATGAAGGTCTTTACTGGGTACATTTGGTAGACAAACCGCAAGACATTTGCGTTGATTGCATTGCACACGTTTTGCTTTAGTGATCTTCATTGAAATAGATGAAAATTGGTTAATAATTAACCAACATTAACCAAGATTAATTTGGAATGAATTCAGGATATTTCAGGGCAACTTAGAGAAATGATCTTCCGGATGACTTTGGTTCACAGTGGTTCAGCCTGTGACGCTGACGCAACAAATGGAGGCTGGAAAAGGTGTGGTGGAGGAAAGCATTGAGAGCGACTGCCCCAAGTGGATGAATGCGGGAGCTTTCAAGATTCTGGGCTGCAACATCGCATGATGAAATTGTTGTCAAACGGTTGTTGAAAAAAAGGTGTCTCAGAATTACCAAAGATCCCCAAAAAGCAGAGTGGTTCATAGTGGTTCTGTATGGTTCTGTTGGCAGGGAAATCATTCTGGAGTCCCTAAGTCTAGGAGAATTGATCTCATTCCATCTCTTTTGGAGTCGAATATGTCCAATTAAAATTTCTGTCTCCCCATTGTTTTGTCTCTGGATCCCATGGCGGCAGTCCGACCTGTCCGACCTGGCCATCTGAGGAAACTTCAGGTCCTGGAAAGGCTCACGATGAAGGGCGGAAACAAGGCGCAACATCGCTTTTGTGGCGCCAGGAATGGTGGCCTGTTTTCCTGAACTTGGGTTGCGGTGGCAACAAAGATCACTTAGAGTATATAATGTATTTAGCTTGGAGATATTGAAATGTCATGTATAACCTCATTCCTGCTGGTTTTTCGGGGGTCAGGCCCAAATCATAGTAAAATTGAAGGACACACTGCTCGACCGAAGTACTTCTTGCCGCAGTTCATCATTAGAGGAAGCTCCCTTTCCAGGAAAGGCCATGATGTGGTGAATCCGTTCGTGCATTAGGTTTCGGACCTGTTGAGAACAGCAATAGCCATGGAACATCTTCCATTGACAATGCGATCCGGCGGCTTTAGGTAGGGTATACCTGCGGTACCTCAATATTGGCCTATGGTCAAATTGGTCCAAACAACATGGGGTGTATCTCAACAGGACAATTTTGATGGGATCATGTTGGCACGCCTTTGAATTTTAGAGCTACCAATTTTTGGGCAAATCCAAATTAAATGTTAGGCTAAAACTTAACACAGCTGACAAGGCCTTTGAGGGCTTGACCGCGGAGATGTTTACTCCGCAGCAACTTGTCGTTCAGCTGTGGGCAGCTGTGGATATTCACTTATATTTTGCAGAACCGGTTTCAAGAAAATTTGGCAAGAGCACCCATGATTAAGAAAAAAAACTCAGCTATGTTCCTGCTATTTCACAATTTGTTCATGCTATATTGAAATTAATTTTCAACCATGGTTGGACATGTTCAAGTCATGCCATTCATTGAGACTATTGCAATATACATACTTGCAATGAAGGAATTCATGCCTACGAGTAGCTACTACTTCCTACGAATTTACAATTGCATACTCTGTACCATCCGAAGACGTTTGGAAGTAGGCAATCGTGCCACCAAATCGTTACAGCCCGCCGGAGAGTATTGATTTGATTGGAGTCCAAGTGACACTGGCGGCATAATTATCGAAGGAAGTTTAGAAGTCAAACTTCCGGCAATATGGACAGATGAAAAGCAGAGATAGGAAGAGTCAGAGAGAAGAGAAGAGTAGAAGAGAGAAGATCAGAGAAGAGAAAGAGTCAGAAGAAAGAAGATGCAGGTGCGCGAAAAGGTAGGAAAGTCACGAAACATTGTGTTTTTCCAATGATTTGTGGCACCGCAAGTAGGCTCGCTAAAGCGGCGGGTGCGGAGCCATCTGGCCAGATGAGAGATGAAAAATTGCACGCCGTTGTGGCGCGAAGCACATTTCCAAGTCAAAATGTACAAAACACCACATGCTCGGACCACTTTTGGAAGTTGAGCTGTCGAAAAAGTGCACGCTGTTGTGGTGCGAAGCACATTTCGAAATCAAAATGCACAAAACACACCAGTGGCGGACCACTTTTGGAAGTTGAGATGTCGAAAAAGTGCACGCTGTTGTGGCGCGAAGCACACTTCGAAGTCAAAATGCACAAAGCACACCAGGTCCTGACCACTTTTGGAAGTTGAGATGTCGAAAAAGTGCACGCTGTTGTGGCGCGAAGCACATTTCGAAGCCAAAATGTACAAAACACACCAGTGGCGGACCACTTTTGGAAGTTGAGATGTCGAAAAAGTGCACGCTGTTGTGGCGCGAAGCACATTTCGAAGCCAAAATGTACAAAACACACCAGTGGCGGACCACTTTTGGAAGTTGAGATGTCGAAAAAGTGCACGCGGTTGTGGCGCGAAGCACATTTCGAAATCAAAATGTACAAAACACCACATGCTCGCGCCACTTTTGGAGATTCAGATGTCGTTTCGCGTGGCAGGGGCAAGGGATCGCGCACCTTGTCAAAAGTGAGCAAAACGTGAGGGTTTTGTCGCATTTCCAAAAACGATGGCAGGCGTGGGACATTTGAACAGGATCTGCAAAGATGCATTTTCCGTGGCAGGGGCAGTATAAGAGACATGTTCATCAGAGCTGTTAGGAGGTCCGGGCGCTGATTTCCTGAGAGGGGTTGCATTTTGCAGCCTGAGATCTTCAGGTTTGCTGAGATGACTTTGCGTGACATGTGCAGCACTTTGTATGACCTGGCCTCACTTTTTCGTGGCAGGCGCAGTACTTTAGACAGGTGGAATGGAAAAATCGCAAAACGCCTTGGTGCGAGGCCGTCAGCGCTGCACGCAACTTTCCGCTGTCCACTTTGAAAAATGAAGAAGTCTCGCAGAATTGCTGCGTTTTTTTTTAATGTTGTCAAGTTGTCAAATTCAAAAAAATGAGGAAGTCTCGCATAATTGCTTCGTTTTTTGGATGCTGCCAAGTTCAACAATTGAGGAAGTCTCGCAGAATTGCTGCGTTTTCAAGCTTACAGTTAGACAGACAGACAGAAAGACAGACAGACAGACAGGCAGGCAAACAGATAGATAGATAGATAGACAGATAGATAGATAGGTAGATAGATAGATATATAGATAGACAGACAGACAGATAGACAATTACAACTACAACTACCACTACACTACACTACAGTACTGCTACAACTACAAATACAAATATACTACGCTACATTACACTACACTAGTTACACTACACACTACACTAGTTACATCTAATTACACTACACTACACTAATTACACTAACAACTACCACAACTACAACAACTACTACTACCACAACTACAACTACAAGTACAACTACGCTACACTACACTGATTACACTGCAGCACACAACAACTACAAAAACAACTACAACTACAACCACACTACATTACACAACACTACACTAATTACACTGATTACATTGCACTACACTACAACTACAGCTGCAGCTGCAACTACAACTACAACTACCACTACATTACACTACACTACACTACCTTACACTACCCGACACTACACCACACTACACTACACTACGCTACGCTACACTACACTACACTAATTACACTGCACTACACTACAACTACCTTACACTAGACTACGCTACACTATACCACACTACACTACACAACGCAACACTACACGACATTACACTGCACTACACTACACTACTTACACCACACCACGTCTACAACTGCAACTGCACTTGCAAATACACTAATTACACTACATTACAACTACAGCTCCACTACGCTACACTACACTACAGCTACAACTGCAACTACAACTGCAACCGCGCTACACCACACTACATCCAGCAGTTGTGGTAAGGTGACCACTTCAACCATTGCAACCACTCCAAAAAACACAACTCCAACCACCTGTCGTTCCATCAGTGGATTCGCTCTGCCATCCGTGATTCACAGCAACCAACCTCTCCTATAAGTTTCCAATTTTTGAAACTTCCGCCACCGCCTTGTGCGTTATCCAGACTATCCAATCATAAATCCATGGACAAATCAGGATTACCAATAACTAATCCATGGACATTTCCATAATAATTACCCTCTGGTTATTTAACATAGCTATGGAAAATGACCATTTATAGTGAGTTTTCCCATTAAAAATGGTGATTTTCTATAGTTTTTGTATGTTTACCAGAGGGTAATTAATCATGGACAGTAATTCATAGCAATGATCCCCAGATGATGGAAAGCCCATGATTATTTTGGACCATGTTCAAGAGAATCCATGGCAAACGCAAGCGGTAAACCTATATTGGATTCAGGATGGTCAGCCTGTTCGCTTGGCTTGGTATCACTGGACTTACCCTCTGCACATATTTCACATTTCGCGAAGTGGCAAATTGCCATTTCTTTATAGGCAAATCGTGGTACATCATCATGTTGATCAGAGTTTCTCATCGGTCATCATACCATAGCTATGGGTCAGAAAAATACCATATTAATCATTTTGTTTCGTCATCTATGGGTGGTCAAATAGCCAAAAGGATCCAACCCTTCAGTCGCTGCCTCCAACGACTAAACCTTGTTGCCTGACGTGGCGCCATGGCGCGACGCACCTTAGGTGGGAAGACTTCGGCATGGACGACAACATGACCAATCGCAAGATGCCAGGCCAGTTGATCTGAAGAGATGAATCGATTGGTTCGTTCATATATTGATGCTTAGTTCATGATTCATAATGTTGATATAAATATATATATATATATATATATATATATTATTTATTTAATATAGCATATATATATATATATATATATCAGACATGAATGTAATTATACATATATATATACACATACAGTATACATACATATACATATATATATATATACATATTGGAACACATGTTAATCTTTGATAATATTGATATGTTTGACACGGGTTGTTGGTTGATTATGATATGGTTGATTCAAAAAATTGTTTGGTTGGCACTTATCAACATAGTCCTTTTCTACGCTAGAAACTAGTTGTACTCTATATATATATAATAATAGTGGCTGGTTAATATATGTTATAATTACCAACCCCCCCAAAAAAATAGAACAGTTGGAAACCTGGATTTGTTGAAGGTAACTATCTTTCATCCTGGAAACACGTTTGATTTTTGTTGGGGATTGTTTTGGTATTATTGACAAGTATCTATGATTGGTTGATGATGGTTGATTCTGGTTGATTCAGACTTGATTGGTTGGCACGTATCGATATATTGGTTGGCTAATTATTTAAAACCAGTTGATTGATTTTGCAAGATATGAACCGAGTGGTGGTCCAGGGATATTGGCAAGTTGACTCAAGACAATGTTCCATCTTCGTAAGCGAGTGGATTATGTGTTGTTTTTCCAGAAACGTTTATATAATGATGTGTTTTCGGCTACAGTAAGCAACCAAGAAATAGTTTGTTTGCTGGGTAGCCATGGATGTATGTGTACCCCACAATTGATATATATATATATATATATTATAAATAGATTATTGGCATGACAACGGAGAAACCATCAAGAAACCGTTTTCCGTAAATCATCAGCTCAGATGCGGAATCATGGTGAGCTTAGATCATGAGTTCCTCTCCCTCGAAAAACTCAACTTTCAGCACCGGTTCACGAAAGCAGCAAGATGGGTTAAATCTCAATTTTCCTCAATTCTCAATCGTGTAGTGCTAAAGATCCCATGTTTTTTGAAGGCTATTCTGTTGGTGAAACTACCATACAGCCCTAGTTATGATCCTTTTTGGCAGTAATAAACCGTAACTTTTGGCTGATTTCCCGACGGTGCACCACTGGACCACTCAAAAGATCGCAGGTGAATGGGGCAGCAAACTAACAGCCTTCCAGCAGTTGGGAGCTAAGACAAGTGCCCGATGCGCTGGTGATGATCTAAAAATTACCATACTCTCGAGTAAACACTGACATAGTGATGGAAAATTGCCCATTCATAGATGATTTCTCAAAACAACATGATTTCCATAGGTATTTTGGTTAAACCATGTTAAACCTAAGGTTTGTTTATAGTCCACCATTTTTGGAATCTATTGGGATGTGTTTTTTTTGGGCCCCTTAAGCAAATCCAAGTACCATTGGTGAGGAACTCCAACTGTCACTGAGGCTGTTGATCATCAAGTCCGGTGCTCACCTTTCCGCAAATCACTGACTTGTTGAAGCGACGCTAGGGGCGAGTTTTGTTTGACGATTGAAAATGGAGAAGCTCCGCAATGTTCCATCAAAAATAGGGAAACACTATTTAAAGATTATACAGTAATACAGTAATACAGTTGATTTAGATTATATATCAAAGTTGGGGGTAGCCCATTTTCAGAAAACCACTTTTTGTACTCACGCTGGCGTTTCCTTTTACCATCCCTCAGTCCCCGAAACCATTGCCAAACTGCCAGGGCTTTACGTGAGAACTTTCTTCAACTCGTTGGGAGCCCCAGAAAGGTGACCCGAGTGCCCGCAGGCACTGACTCTGGACTGCCCTGGTGGAAGAAATTTGTTTCGTGCATTGCTGACTCAGAATTGACCAGGTGCTTCAACCAGTGCCAATGTTGAACAACCCCTAATAACCCCCAACAACCCCCAACAACCACTTCCGATTTTTTGAAGCCATCGCAGTTGGAGGTACCGAAAAAATCCAGTAACAGTTCTGGTTGATTGGCAGCCCAGCCTCTCAAGTTGGACAATGACAAAGGTAAGCGTCATTTGCTCATTATGTTAAAACTCTTGGACTTTACATACACTGGATGAATTATGGTGACCTCACTGTGACCTCACTGGAATGATGGCTAGTAGAATTCTCCCAATATGGCCATTGTTTGGTCCTATTATATAGTGAATCAATGACTAATTACCCAGATGGACATCAACTCCCATCCATTTCGCAGCGACGCACGACAGGTGGTGCGACATGTTGTGGAAGCAGAAATGGGATCTCACTACATCGTGTCACCTCCTTTTGACCTTGTTGGTTGTTTCAAGGACGATTTGTGGCTTGGGTTAGAAGATGGGCAATGGCCAGCACTTCGGCGGAATATCAAAGTCTTGCAGGTCGTGAAAATTGGATTCCAAGACGTATGAGACGAACCTATACGTATTGCTGTAGAATATATATATATATTATATATATATAATTATTTACAATTATTTTATATGTGTAATATATACATATATATCTTTATTGTGATGTACATATATGTATATATACACAGTACACATTATTTGTGTTCATATATCCCTATGCATATCAAAGTCAATATCACATCATGTCTCACAGGGTTGATTTAGATATGCTGGTCTTGATAGTAAATATGGGTAAACTCATCTACAAACAAAATGTATATTAGTCATTATATTGATAGTAACAGGAAAAGGTAATTATATTATATTATATATGTTAGTAATTATATTAGTAATTATATTGTATATATATATATATATATCTGGGTAAATTATAACGACCTCACTGCGACCTCACTGGGAATCATGGTTAATAAGGGGAATCATCCCCAAATGGCCTTAATTCAGGTTATTGAAATATTTTAATTTACCCAGATATATGTTAGTAATTGTTTCATATATACACATCGATCATGTTTGTTTTGCTCAACCTGGCCACCGTCGGACAGGACTCCAAGAAGACCATGCCTTTGATCTTCGTTCTGTGCGGCGCCCTTTACAAACACCCTGGAGTGGGTGGCAACGGAGTTGATCCAACTCGATCTTTGAAAGACAAAACATACTACCCGGCCTGGTAAACCGTAGGAAAACCATAGGAAAACCATAGGAAAATGGTGGTTTAATGGGATTTAATGGGATTTAATGGCACTTACCCTCTGGTAAACTAACATAACTATGGAACATCACCTTTTTTAATGGGTAAATCAACTATAAATGGCCATTTTCAATAGCGATGTTTGTTTACCAGAGGGTATCATTTGATATCAGTTGATATCATATGATGTTTTGATGAGACTTGTCACCTCAGCCAAGAAATTTAGCATTGGTCTGGCTTGGAGTTCATTCAGTTCATTGGTTTGCCGCAAATTGAAGCGAAGAATCTCTCGGCGACTCTTGCTGATGCAGACGTGCACCTGACTCCCCCAGCGATGATAGCAATGGCAAACCCAAGAGCATAAAATGCGCCACCAAATTCACAAAAAAATGGTGCTATCAAATGGTGCAAAACAAGCCCAATGACAGGTTGATTATTTGATGTTCAGCATTAATTCATGTGTATGTAACGAAATCCTGGTCTTTGAGTCATGTGGACAGCATTTCGGTCACGTGAGTTATTTGATATTACTTGTATAAGCCTCAAAATGCATAGAATCTGACTTCCCTTCCATTTTCCCACTGTTCCCGGTCCCCTTGTACATCGATTTGGGATGATTTGGGCTGAATGATAGCCACCTCCCCACAAAACATGATTTCTCATTCAGTGTCACCATCGAAAAATCAATTTGTTTGGTGTTGGTGAATTATTATTATGCAGCCAGGTAGAAGATTCCTTACCCTGATTGAGATTCTCATGAACACGACAGTATTCACAGGATTTACACTTCAGGAAAGACCTAAAGTAACCCCAAGAAGATAGAAAAGTGACGAGTCTTCATGGAAATTTAAATCCGGGATTTACTTTTCTATCTTTTTGTGGATGACTATGAAGTAATTCATCCCAAATTCTCTCTAACAGCAAGGTCTGCCGGTGCAGATCCCACGGATTACTTGGTGAAGTTGGCGCGCGACTTCGAATATGAGGACTGGATTCAGTGGTTTCTGTATGAAAAACGATCGAAAACGTAGAAGCAGTAGATGGCAGATCGAAGATCACTGGGAAAACATGGCTGGAACTGTTTTTTTTCTGGAAATGAATGTCAAATGTCACCACGGCATCACGATACCAGATTGAACCTGACCAAAATTCATGGAAATCATCCTCCAGATAGCCAATCAGATCTTATGTGCTATCCATGGAGGGGACCTTATGGTGGCATTGTTTGTGCCATGGAAATCTGGATAAATCTGGTATTGTGTAGCCATGGTTATGCTGTGTTTGCTGCACTAGTGATGGATGTCTAGTGGTTTCTGTCACGTCATCCACAATCAAAATGACCCCTATCCATCCCTGTCCCATCTAATCAAAGAAACTATAATTGTTTTTTGCTCAAACGCTTTCCCAATCTTATTTATCAGAAAATCCTCAGCTTATAACTTCATATAGCTAGTATAGATGTTCCACTTTGTTCTATGGCTCATAATCAGCTTCGCCAACTTTCTCCCGGTTTCCCCATCGTTTTGTCGCCTCAGCCAAGGTCCTATGAAGCTACGTTAGTACCATATTTCTGGCCAAATTTTGTGGGGATATTCCTGTGTATCATGCATCCATCCGTGTAATTATTGCACCTATGCTGTGTTTGCACCTAGTCATGTATTTGTATTTGTTTGTATGATATATGTAATCAGGCTATAGGTTTAATGTCTGTATGTACACCGTAGGTAAACGCCCAGATGACAGCGAATCCTACAGATTGCTGTCTTTAATCTATGATAGATGATATGGACACGTGGCATAGATATGTTTGATACAAGGCATGCCAAGTAAGTCAGTACATCAATTAGTTTTTATGTAATTTCATGTAACTTCTATACATGTATATGCACATAATGTCTAGATGTAGAACATATTATGAATATTACAATGTCTAGATTGTACATAATGTCTAGTAAGATCTAGTAAATATATCAATTACTGGTTGGTGGTTTGGAACATGAATTTTATTTTTCCCATCATACTGGGAATGTCATCATCCCAACTGACGAACTCATATTTTTCAAGATGGCTAAAACCACCAACCAGTATATATAATTATGTTTAAGGGGTGAACCATCTATATATATATATATATATGGAGGTTTTAACAGGATACCCTGTAAGTATATCAATTAGTTAATGTAAATTCTATGTGCTGCAGATAAGTCGCTTCAGAAAACGACCTCTGGGGGATGACACCATGGATAAAAACCGTGCTAGGAGCGCTTGCACTTCATCTCCTTGGGCCAAGGTCAAGGGCAGAAGGCGAGCTGAAAACATAGGAAAAGCCCATGAAATTCATGGGACATATCATGGTTTCCGGTAGATTTTCCCTGCACCTTAAACCAAGCCATTGATTTTTTTTCAGCTTTTTATAGGGGATTCGGGGAGAGATCATGATAAATCTCTAACCAAAGCAGGGGATTCGAATGGAAGAACTCTGCTTGGATGTTCATCATGTTCATCCCCATTTCACCTGCAGACTGGCGACAAAGGTTTTTTTAGCAGCAAACATGGAGATGGCGAATTTGAGACTCGCAGTTCTGGACCAGTTCTGGAGAGTTTTTGAGTGAACCCATGATTGACACATGCACATGTGTGACAGTAGCTGACATGGTCCATGATACTGTACTCGTACGCGCAATTATATATCTATCATGACATGATCTCAAGATCTGATGATGTGCTGTTGAACACAGAAGATAGACATGTAGCATATATATATATATGTAGCATATTATATTCACACTCTTTCACCCCCACATATATCATATATAATATGTTCATGAATATATGATATTGTACTTACACCTTTGGTTCGAACACGGTTTTCGTCGGCGAAGTGGCAGGCGGAAAATCTCATCCAGATGGGTCGAGAGTCAGGCGCCGGGAGATTTAGCGTAATACAAAGCTTTGGCACAGTTCAATGGGGAAAATTTGATGACATCTACCATTGGCTTTGAGGTGATTTTATGTACTCTTTATTTTTAGACAAAGCATAAAACGCATGGCTTCACAGATAGCTGCTAGAGAATTTATGTACGATGCCAGAGATTGATATTGTCTGAGCAATAGCAGTATTGCTAGAGCTTTGCTACCAATCAGGCTTTCGGGTACAAATTCAATCACCTCATAGTGCTCACATTATGTTATAGTTTTATCATGCTACATACCATCATTTTCTGGTTAGTAATGTTAGTTATATTGCACTATATCCCCATTATGTTCGCGTGATTCCTCTGTTGTAATCCATGTACACACTGGTATTTGTACACATTTACAAACATCCTGAAGTAGGATGAACATGGATGAAAAATAAAATGAAACGTCAAACACACATTGACAAAATGCATAATTATTCGCTTAAAATTCCCATTTTCTATCTACTCCAGGATGAATATAGATATGATACAATATAATATAAGATAAGATATCATGGCTTAATATGATATGACATAATATATTATAATATAGTATAATAGAATAGATTGTGTATATCTATTATATTATATATATATATTAATATATATTTTTATATATATATTATTATATGTATGATATTATATTATATATTATATATATTATTATATATATACTATTATATAAACTATATATATAATATAAGATATTATATATATATAAGACAACTAATATAGATATGATAGTATAATATGTGTGGTATTGATGTATTTGGTTTGTTGCTTCAATGTCATCACTGCCAGGTGATTGGGTGTGCCTGCAGAACTGCCATTTGGCCGCCAGTTGGATGCCAACATTGGAGCGTATCCAGGCCTCTGAAGGGCCAAGAAAAGCCAGGGAAAAATATGGGGAAACTCATTCTACATGGAGGTTTGGAGCTTGGAAAATGAATGAACATGATCTATAATATTTGTATAATATCTGTATAAGTGGTTTATAAACTCAGTAGGGTCGGGGCAATATGGGACAATGTCCAGTTATAAGTGACTTACTGGGCTGAGCCATGAAGTATCCAACGGTCCGGTAGGGGTTGAAGAATCGAAGCACATGGGTTTTACATCCGATCCGAATCCCAACCAGCAATGGGTGAATGTTCCATTCACATGGAAAAATGTGTTGCTGAAAAGACCTGAATTTCTGAAGCGATCCAGGAGATGCAAGATCCCGACCAGATCGATGACATGTCCGGGCTCTCGGAACTCATTTTCAGTAGCGGAGCTGAACATCCGAAGACGGGAATGAGGACATCATGGGGATATTCAGGTACAGGATGGTACAGGTACCTTCCGCTAATCAAATATGGCAGTTGAACATCCAGGACGTTATATGTACTGTAGATGAAGTTCCCTTTAATTCCCAATTTATGATACATTGTCCATTGCCATGTTTAATTACCGGAGGATACAATGATTATTCATTGTGCTTGCTTCAGTGACTTCTATGCATCAACATTGATGACTTTCTGTGAGTTCATCAGGTACTAAGAAAGTCATTACCCCTCGGAAATCAAGCATATAAATAGGATATCCTGGAACTAAATTTGCATTTAAATGGGAACATTGAACTAAATGGTGGATTTTCCACTGCAATGTTTGACTTCCGGAGGGTAGGAACCAATGGCTGGTGGCTGCAAATATGGTTCCTTTCCATCTCAGCCTTCAAAGAGTCATTCAACTACCAAATTGCTGGTGCAATCCCCCAGTTGGTGGGTGAATTGTAAGCCATATTTTTTAGATATGAATTGTGTACATGTTTGGTCAGCGAAATGGCCTTTTCTATCTTTTTGGGTGATCATTCGATGACTTGGTCTTAATGATCCAGTCTTGATGTTTTAATCTTTAGCCAACTTGATTGCATTACTATCATCAACAGCTGCTACCCATAATTACCATATTTAGCATAGTCTATAGTATTGGATATTGGCAATATCCACATGGTATTTCGCATATATAGTCTATAGTCAACTTAAGCTACCAACAAGTTGTATCAGATTATCAGATTGGATCCTTCCTTGCGCGTCAGGTATCGTCTCTGGTTAACCTCCATGCCCTCGCCCAGTTTCCCCGTGCCGGTCCTGCAGGGAGGTGGGGCCGGCGTTGCCCTGGCGGTAGTAAAAGATGCCTGGTGCCCAAACAACAACGATAAATATATAGGTGGATTCTTCAAGGAAGATGAAGAACTTGTTGATTGTTGACATTTGTCGACAAAACATCAGATGATCCCAAAAAAATAGCTGTGAATGGGGCATTTAGATGCATTTAGATGCATTTAGCTTAGCCACGGCATGGAGAATCCATCCTTCAAAGTGAGGGCAAGACAAAATCCATGACAACACCATGATGAAAGATGTCCTGAAACAAATGAACATAATTTGAATGTGAAGAGATGTTGGCTCTTCCTTTCCCATCTCGGGAGCAAGTTGCAGATAAGTTGGAGATATTTGGAGCCAGCATTGCAACATACCTCGAGAAGTACATTCAGTGATTGCGCTTCAAACAGAAACCGTGGACATCAACGGAAATGGTCACGTTCACATCAACTAGGTCAATCTGAAACATGGATACCAAGTAATCCTTTATAGTCTTTTAGTATTAATTAATGGAATATCTACCTTCACCAGCAAAGAAACGGGTCCATTTTTTGCAGGGGCCCATTCTCTGGCTGATTGGCTTTTTGTCAACATGATATTGGATCAAATCATGGGATTTTCGCTGTAAGATGCTGGATTTGTTGCTGGTTGGTGGTGGCTGGAACTTCCTGAAATTTTGTTGTGACTTTCCAGAAGGTGGGAAGAGTAATTTTCCCCAACTGACGAGTTGTCCATCATTTTTCAGAGGGGTGGCGAAAAACCACCAACCACTGGATGGGTTTTAGGTGGTTTGGATGGGTTTGGGTTTAGAGATGTTTCGAGTTTTCCGTTTTGGACATGTTTTTGAACACACTTGCCTTACCCCGGAATTTGCGAATCTCAAAAGAAATACGGGATCGGTCACGGGCAAACCTTTGCTTTGCAGCGAACTGTTTCAACCGGAAAGTTGGTTTATACCAAAGTACTGTTGCTTGAAATTGAAAGGAACATGTGTCCCGATGTTGATGGTTCATATATTTTTCTTAAACATAAAAAGTTCTAGAAATTGACACCCCATGCTCACAGTTTAGTCTAGTGCGTTTCATTTCATCCGAATGGGCTATATTATGATATATTGAATTTATATTATATTTACATATTATTTGAATTTACATATTAATATTTCATTGCACATGACATATCCCAAGTGACCCAACCCCCAAAAAAACAATGCCAACTGTCTACAAGTTATGGCTATGTGGCCAGGCATCAAGATCACCAACGAACCACCCAAGGGCCTACGGGCGAACTTGTCCCGCACCTTCCAGGCCAATGATCCTGGGTGTACCCCCAAAATCATCCGATGTTTTTCTGACTTGTTTGGCAAGTTGGGAATATTTTTTGTTTTTGTGATTTTTTTTGGCAGTTTGGGAAGTTTTTTTTTGGCAATTTTGGGAAACCCCACATATTATGTATATATCTGGTTTCGTTATCTATAGGTGATAAATCGTTTGCTATCTGGGATGCACGTCCAAGTAGGATTTGTGGTGTTGGTTAGTCTTGATGAGTACCCCTGCTGGTCTGAAATCCGCATACCCAGTGCCAAGATGCGATTTTGACATAACCCATAGGATCCATATATGGTATATATGCTAACATTTGGGGTATATTGATGGGAAATGTTACCATATATAGCATTCATGGATCCTATGGGTAATAATATGTTAACATTTAATGTAACTTTTGACATAAACATTGGGATGGAATGGATGGAGGAAGCTTTGATGTACTATGACAGTTTCCCTTCTTTAGGCCTTTGATTGGCCTTATCACACATAGAGAAGATGGGATTGAACCCCGTGAGCCAGATGAGCCAGCCAAGTCCTGAGCTCTCAAAGTTTTGGTGGTTTCCTATCTTTCTGAAGCTATGTTCCCAGCCATACCTGGGATTTTTTTGGATGTTCCACCAGCCACAGCTTGATTCTCCAAGTGTTTGGATTGACCATGAAATTGAGACTTGAGAGGTTTCGGCTGCTAAAACAACATGGATCTAAATGGGTATGGATCAATACCTATAGATACATTTTTAGTGGGATGAACATCCATTTACCAGCTATTTTGATGTGAACTACAGGGGTATAAGGTTTTGACACACTGCCAAATGAGACCGCATCCGAGTAGCTGACGAATCCTTTGTCCAACATGACATACAAAATTTAGCGTCGAACACTCACACCGATGAACCCTTGCTACACCTCATCCCCACATCCAAGCGCTGACAAAGAAGCAAAGAAATCACCACTCCATGTGCCCCAAAGAGTAGATGATAGTAGATGTGACACATCCCAAGAACTGTAGCTAATTGTTTGAGAAAAAGGCAAACGTCCCTCTTTGCCGCTGCTCGGATATTGCCATTTCACAAACTGCTGCCTGAGAGGACATCAGCACAGAGATCTATGAAGGATGTAGCAAGTCTCGCGAATACAAGAAACTGCTGTCCCGCACTCAATTGTGCTCAGTTGCAGGGTGGATCCTGACCCCTGAAGAGTACTTGGTAGACCTCTGTTGGGTATAGTTGAATGATTCAGTTGTTTCGCCACAAATGACACTACACCCACCCCAAAACATGCTATTTTTGGTGGTTTGTATCCAAGATTAGCCATGGACTAGTGATATTTGTACCAGCCACCAATGATTGGGCATGCCTGGGCTGCCTCGTTAGCCGATTTTGGGAACATGCCATGCCCACTGATTGCTGGATCCTCAAAGGGGTCCATAAGCTTGAGGGCCTTCGCACCATCCGCTGCCACCGGGCTCCAGCTGACATATATCACCTCTACAGTTGCTAGAGCTCAAGATCAGATGAAAACATCACACCCCCAACCACCCCCAGCCACTATAACTGAGCACCACCAGCCCCACAACGACTCATTGAAGCTGCTAAGTTGTCAGGGGACATCTCTCCAACACTGGAGCTGTGGCCAATGCGACCCTTTGATCTTGAGGATGCCAAGGTCATGACAGTCGTAGCGGGGGATCCTGTGCATGCATTGTCAGGAAGCATAGAATGCCCCAAAGACATGTGTATCATTTGTTCATTTTGGGGCTGGATCCAACAATTGAGAGAATCCATGGGTTGATAGGGAAGACCTCAAATAGGATGTGTCAAGATCCTTCAAGTACTCCGGCAGCCCTTTTGGGGGCCCAGTCTTTGAAAACATTCGATCAGAACCAAAGGAACAATTTCTTGTAGCATGTGTGTTTTCTGCCATATTGAATTTCGAATGGTTTTGGTTGTAATATGTTACAATCAAAAAACATGACTTCTAGCATCAGTGTATGCAGACTGATGAAAAACCGTGCAGGAAAAGCTCTATAACTACGACGAGGAGAATGTTTCCCACATTTCGGTGAATGACGCTTGGCAGATGATTCAGGTGGTGATGATGGTGGTGATGATGGTGATGATGATGGTGACCATGTAGGCGATGTTTGACTCATAGTTGATCCTTTGTTGCTATGCGATCATATCATAATTATCATGACCTTCTCTGCGATATATTATATGTATATTAATAAATATTAGGATAATCTATGTACTGTATATTGTCTTCATTTTATATTATGTATATTTCAATAATTTTCTACATTATGTCCATGTATTCCTCCATTTCTCAAAGACTCTTCAGCCACATGCCTGAATTTTCAACGGCCAAGGAGAAGTGCCCGGCCGAAAAGGACCGAGGTCGCTGCGGCGGTTTTTCGATGATCCAAATGAGATAAACATGGGGCTTTCATGAGATTTCATGACCATTTTCTGGCCCACAAGTGATGGATAGTGATGGTGCAAACGGCTTGTTTGTTGCTTGTTGTTGCCATAGTTCATGGAAATCATCCCATGCAGTGGCTTGTTTCTTTCCATAGACAAAATAGAACATGTGTTTCCATGACCCAGCCATCAAGTCAGAACAGCTGCTGTTTCAAAAAAAAAATCATGTGTTTCAAGGTGGTTTCGAGCCTGCTGTTTTTGCTGGCAGGGCCTGCGTTGACATGGTGGTTTCGAGCCTGCTGTTTTTGCTATAGTTGCCTGGCAACGGTGAAACGCAGGGGGGAACTGACGGTGCCAAGAACATCCTTTCGAATCAGTGTAGCTAGCTCTTCAGCTGAATTTGAAAGATGCAGCCATGCTTGCACCAACCATCCTCATTTCAATGGTAATCAATATCAATCAACTATATACTAATTAGATTCATGATTTTTATTTTATTATGTGCCATAACATCCGGGGGGAATGACTGCGCCGGCAAGATTTACTACACCGCGCCGAACATGGGAGAGAAACTCTGAGGTGCAGTTGGCATCGACATGGCCTGGTCAGGAACTCAAAGTTGGCATCGCGATGTCAGGGGATCCCCAGGTCATCATGGTTGTTTCAATACAAAGTTATGGTCATCCATGACTTGGGTGATTTGGGCCATACCCCCCCAAAAAAAGGAAACCTCCTAAAAAATGTGTCACCAGTGTGTGTTTATTTTTTGTTTTTGTGTTTTTGGTTCCCGTTTATGTAGGAATGTGGAAGGCAAGTGATCTGAATGCAGTAGTGCCCATAGCTTTGGGGCACACCGTAAGATACACTCAGTAGAGTCGCCCAGCGGGAAATCACCATCCAGGCGCCTGGGATATGTGGCATGCCATTGTGCCCTGTATCCGTGGCAATTGGAGGTGCGGGGAATATGCCACGGGTCGGCATCCCGCATGACTCCTACTCTTGTGCCAAATTGGAACGCCTTTATTGCCGACTACCACCAAAATGATCCCTCACAATTGATCAGTCCCTTAGTCAATGTGGGATGATCATACTCTACAAATTGTTATCATGGTGGCAAAACACTACCAAAGACTGCTGATTGTGCATTGGAATTGTGACATGTGTCATTTCCGGGTTCTGCAGGGATGGTTTTTTGGGGTTTGCCCTGCAAGGCTTGCCTCCTACTCCTGCAAGGTTGCCGGGAGTCCCAAGTAGGTCCCAGATTTGCTGAAGATTTGCCAAAGATTTTCGCTGTGGTCAATCCACCATTGGATCCATGGTGCTGGTATATATGCTAACAAAAAGGGTGTATATTGATGGGATCCATGTTACCATATAGCATACATGGATCCTATGGGATCCATCATTTGCGGATTGTGGAATCTGCCGTTTTTATCTTTTCCCAGGCAGCTGTGATATTTTAATATGCCATGTTTGTGCTTTAGATACGGATTCTGACACCCGAAACAGTCCAGTCAGCCAACTTCTGCCCTATCTTAGTACGGGCCTAAACTTTGTTAGTTGACAGTGAGGTATCTCCAGGTTTCCAGGTGTATGAGGGTCTGAAACTGGGCCAGCCCCCTGTTTTATCATGTCATCAGTTTGAATGGGGAACATGATAGTTAACCAGGGACTTGGGCTACGATTGTGCATACTTCACCAGTCTGCCTGGACTTTAGTCCGTAAGTTGTTGTTTTTTACAAAATTATCATCGTTGAAATTTGTTGTTCACAACCCTGTACTGTGGATATCAAACATGGACCATCTCCCAATTTCAGATCAATTGCTTATTCATTTACATGTGTATCAATATGTTTTTCATTGTCCCAATAACAGATTCAGCTCCATAAAACGTTGCTAATTATCTTGCTCAGCTGATGGAATTGTCCCAGCAATTGCGGGAAGGTCTCCTATCCTCCAGGTTTGTCCTTCATGCACGATGCCTACTTCGCGGGGCGATCACCAGCTGCAAAGATGGCAGACAGGCACTGATCCAGTCGCAGGTGATGCGGATGTGTTTCATGTGTTTTTTCCAGTTGAGCTTTTGATCATACCCTTATGCTCCATGTATGGTACTGTAGATTTGCCTACATTTAGGTGATTTTTAGGGCACATGTTGGTAAATATTCCATACATGGAGCATATGGGATATAGATTGATCATGCGGTACACGCTATGCTTGGGTGGTATCAGGTGGTAAAACTGTACTGAAGCTGTTCGTGTTGAAAAGATGGCACAGGTATCGACACGAGTTGATGGTTGGGTTTACGATGAGTTTACCAGACTTGTGGACTTGGAGCTAGCCGCAGAAATCGAACTCTGGAACCTGCGACCCTGCTGAATTTCCTGACAGATCAGATCCTAGTTTCCATGCCCTGCACAGCATGGCTCCAGCGTCGGGGCCCAACTATCGACCATGTTTGATGACCCATTTGAGAAACCATTGGAAATCGCTGGTTGGGGCATGGGATAGATCTGAACAACACGCCTTTGTTTTAGGGGGTAAGGGTGGTGATCATTAGGACTTGGGAGGTGGCTCAGAACAGTGGCTGGGGCAGCTGCGGAGCATGCCAACGCAGGTGTTGTGCCAGCTTTCTCACGCTCTGCCAGCCATTGAAGCCTGGATACCCAGCTCCAAAAGTCCCGGGGATGATGCGAATTTCAGGGAACATTCCAAACTCCAATGGATTGTCATCATGTTTTTCCTCTGAAAAACGAAAAACTATGGGGTAACTCTACTCTCAGACACCATAAGAATGGGGTGGGACGCAGGTTGAGGCTTTCGTTGTTGGATGCCGAGCGAAGACCGCTAGCGATGACGGTATTGCTGGACATTGTGATCTGAAACCACCAACCAAGTGTATCCAAGCGTCAGTCAGTGTCAGTTCAGATGGTTCTAGTTCATCCCTCATGAAGTTGAGCTATAGGATTCAAGCAATGGCCTTCAGCGACATTATACACTTGGTATCACTGGATACCGATAACTCTGATAACGACCATCGAACGCTCCGGATTTTTGAGACATGTCCCGCAAAACGGGGACTTTGAACATCAGCTGTCTAGATGTTTGGTGGAGAGATATCCCTACAATGTGAGGCCCCCCAGTTATAAGTTGGTTTATAAGCCCCAGTAACTATAGTTATAAGTACCACAACCCTTGTTATTGGAGTTATAAACCAACTTAGCTATCTTGGGGGCCTCACATTGTAGTAGTTGACTGGCTGTTTCAGAATTCTTTCAGATCTGTTTGAGTCAACCGAAATACCAACCGATTTCAGCCACACTGGGAGATGGTTGGCTCAACCACCAGTTTGCTTCAGTGTATGTATACATATCTGGTTGGTGGTTTGGAACATTTTTTTCCATATATTGGGAAGAATCATCCCAACTGACTAATATTTTTCGGAGGGGTTGAAACCACCAGCCAGTTATATATGGTGATCGATCTAAAGGTCCTTGTAAGGAGTTTTAATTGCGAAAGCCGTGCATGTTATGTTGGAAACCCTCGCGAAAGTTTTTTTTCGAATTCGCGAAAGTAAAATTTTATTTCGCGAAAGTTTCGCGAAAGTTGGGTATTATAATCATTATATGTAAAGGGCTGCCACCCACTGCCGCCCGGGGTCCGGCAGGAGAAGGGCATCAGAGAATGCGAGTAGCAGTAGCCAAGTTTCCAAAAGTGAGGCTTTGCGAGAGCCAAACACCAAGGCCCCTGGTCTTCGCTTTTCCTTCAGTGCACCCCCTGCTGATGGCCGGGGTCTGTGAATAGG